TTGTTTTTTTTTTTTTTTTTCTTTTTTTTTTTTTTTTTTTTTTTTTTTTTTTTTTTTTTTTTTTTTTTTTTGTAGAGTTCCCAGCTTCCTCTTATTTGTAAGACTAACTCAGCTATGCTTAAATTATATATATAAATGGTGGTATACAGAGGCACTAAAGCATTGACGGCAGCTTATCGTAAGGTGTCCTAACATGGCTTCTAGTAATGTCCTTGATGCATGGGCACCCAGAAAGTGCCATACTAATCTCTAACTCATTCTTCAGCATCTCCAGCACTGTTCTTACTCCTCCTTCTCCCTTTGCTGCCAGTCCAAATAAAACTGGTCTCCCTATCTGAATCAAATCACAACCATTTCTAACATGAGAGGGGAGAGCCATGCCCATAATCAAAGACAAGAAACAAGAAACAGAATTCAATTATAAGTTGAAACCAAGAACACCAGGATTTTATCTAACATCATTTAGCACAGATCTAACATTGGAGACCTTTTATGAGTGAAAACAAGTGTAATCCTGTTGTAACTTGGAACAAAACTATAGATAAAATACAGTCTCTAACTTAAAAGTATCTAATAGGTCACTAAAGTTATAATTTTATATCTAATAGGTTCTTAACTTAAAAAAAATGTCAAATAGGTCCCAACTTTCAATTCAGTATTCAACATGTCCCAAATATATTCAAATTAATAAAGATTAACTTATCTAATAAATATAAAATTAAATTTTACGATTCGAATGAGCCATAAATTTTTAAGTTTGTGTTTAATAGTACATTCGTGAACTTTACAAAAATGTTAAATACATCAAGAACTTCATCATACATATACAAGTTCATGGATTAATCAGATACAAATCTTAAAAGTTTAGGGATTTAACCAAAAAAATATGTAATGTTTTAGTTGGTGGTATAGAACTTACAAGAACTGCCTGGGCCCCGAGGGCCAATGCCTTAAACACATCTGTACCCCGCCGCACACCTCCATCTAAGAGAACAGGAATTTTACCCTTGACAGCATGAACAACCTGCATCAAACTTCCAATGTTAAAAAACCCAACTGATGGAAGATTATTACAGTTATAAGTAAAGCAACCGTATAGATGAAGTTGATAAGCTTGACTCTCAGTCTAATCTAGTTCAAGTCATGTGAAATTAATTTATGCAGGAATTGAAGTAATTTTATCTCCTTGTTTTCACAGCTGTTGCTAATATAGTAGTACACAATGAAACTTACCTCTTCAAGGACAGAAATAGTGGCAGGAGCAAAGTCCAGTTGGCGGGCTCCATGGTTGGAGACAATAATTCCATCAACACCAGCTTCCACAGCTTTAGTTGCTGCCATTCATCAAACATGTTCGAGAACTAAATGACTGATCAATTGACATTAACACAACTCATAAACCCAGACGGAGATAAAAGAAGGCTCATTTCTTGATTCTAATATCGTTAAGACATAACTGAACCTTACCATCTTCATGAGTGAGAATCCCCTTTATCAGAATTGGCAGACTAGTGGTTGATCTTAACCACATTATATCCTGTGGATGGTAAAATATTATACCTAAACTGGAAAGAAAATAGACATAAAGAGAATCTGAGCAGCTTATTGGACATACTTCCCAGCGCAGAGATGCATCCAACGTCACGTTGGCATAAGTTTCGAACTTTGAACCTTGATCCTACATAAGATCGTGAGTCGCAAGTAAGCCTATGCAATAGAAATGAGGTTTTTAATTTGATATGAATTAAGATACATGGAAGTGTGCTTGAGGGAAAGTAAAAGGAAACTTGGATGTATGCACATCCCAGATTACTGATCAAGCAAGATTCAAAAATTCCTCCATTGTATTAGTAAGTGGTAATTCCAATATTCTAAACCGGATTTTATCAGAATAATACTCACAGCGTTAACGTCAAAAGACATGAGGCCATCAAGATTCTTTATTGGTGGTCTAATCATCCTACAAATTTAACCAGGTGTTTTTCCAGATGAGACAAAAACCAAGGCATAGCTTACAATTGGGATGCAAGATAAAGGTACTAATAAGTTTCTATGGAAAGAAACTGAAACGAAATATTGCTACTTGTTCTTTATGTCAGCCTCCCTTCTACCAAGTCGAGGAGTATCAGCAGTCAGGACAATTGCCTTGTATCCAAATCTCTCAGCTCTTTGTGCTAGAAGAGCCGAGATATCGCGCCTTTTGTAAATCTGATGATTACAGAATAAAAACTAAAATTAAGACTTGCGAACAACTGGATTGCTGCTATAGGAAAGAATTGAAAAAGGGATAGCAAAATGTGCAAAAGAAGCGTCATTTACATATAATTGAAAGAAACGGACAGCATTGCAGCTAGAGGCAACTTCCTCTATTGAACAGGTCGAAGAGTAAGACAGAATCTACAAACAAAAGCAACTTAACTCAATTAGAAAATTCAGCAAGTAAAATAACTTATAGCTTGTAGGCACATTAGTACCATTATAGTTTTTGCAGCAGCAGCTGCCCTGGCCGTGGCTTGTTCTCCTGAAAAATCAAAGATATCATCAAGAAAAAGTAGAATGAAAATCAATTCTCAACTAAGCAATATACCAAAAGGTTTACCCTCATGGAATGCCAACTTATGTGCAGCAGTGGGGGCAACCAGGATAGGTGCGGAGATGCGATGGCCCAATATGGTTGTTGACATATCAATTTGGCTCACGTCCACGAGAACTCGAGGTCGAATCCTGAAAACCATAGAAACCATGAATAACATATAGCGTGACATTTTCAAAGAAATCGTTAGTTAGCTTCAAAATTACATGATTCTACAGAAAGCTTGTATGTTCTCTCTAAGTGTGTGTTCGTCCTCAGCCCCTCCTGCGTAGAAATCATAGTACATTTTTGGAAGTTTCAACCTAGCCAATTCTTTGAAGTCATTCACATTCACTGGTTCAGAAGACATTTTACCCTGACAAAAAAGAGACCAGAACATCCTTAAGAGATTGATACTTATATGTGTTAAGAAAAGAGTAACAGGTGCCACCCAAAGATCTAGTAGCCACGAAAGGTCTTGAAGCACAGTGGATTGAATTAAGAGGATTTTCTCAACTCTCTAGAAGTTTATAATAAGAAACTTATGGTACCATGAATTTAGGATGATGCATTCAAATAAATGAGACAAGAGCGAGTTCTCCACAACACCCAGTAAACAAGCAAGAGTAAAGTAAACCAGAACAAAAGGCATAGCTACAATGGTTGTTTTAAGATTTGGTCTGCAATCCTCTAGGAAGGACTGAAGATGGATCAATATGTTGTTCAAACAGTTGAAGAATATCGGAAGGTCTTGCCCAAAAGTTCAACCATTGAATTGTGTTCTTTAATCATCTTTTGGAACAAAAACTTCAAAAAAATGGAAGGAAATATCTTACATGATATGCAACTTTATTTTCTCTACTACGATCTTATTCTACTTATTGAGGAGGGGGAGATACGAAGCTTCCCCGTTTCCCCACTGAAACATACAGTACCAACATACTGGTTAACCACAATTCATATGTCGAACATGACACACTAGCATTTACAAAGGCATCGCAACCAGGGAAAAGCAAGATGTCCCACGAACCTTTTTTCTCAGTAATCTTAACGAAAACTTACATAAGAAAGCAGTAGATCAGCAGAAAGTAAAGCTTAAAGATGGAATCTAAGGAATAACACTTGGTCACCTTCATGGAAAACAGAAAAATATGATGATTGCCGCAAACAATTTAAAAGACTGGAATCAGATTTTACCTTGATGTTGTAATTTTGACCTAAGCTCGAAGGTCAAGTAGTTCAAGTAGTCGACGACAGAAATTTTGCTAATGAATACGTGCACCATAGAAAATATCTATCAAACAGACCAGTGTTGACAACTTTGACATTGATGATCCCAATGTGGAGGCCAGCTATTCCTGGTTATCAAACAGACCAGTGTGCTATTCCTCATTATCAAATAGAGCAGTGCAAGTATGGGCCAAACAAAACAGATGTAGCCCAAACATTGAGGCCTGTT